TTTTGTTAATAGTGTAATGGCATTAAACCTATTCAATAATCACGGGTAGCTGTTTACATTTCCTATGTACAAAGCATGCTAAGTACCCTACACGTTCCCCTCTATATTTACAGACAATAGCCCATATGTTCCCGAGAGAGGACAACGGAAAACCCCCTAACCAACCCCCACACCTCCCTTTTACTTCCGTTTATGCCTCTAGAATCCTCCTTTCTCTTCGACAACCCATCATGCTTCTCTTCCTTTACCTCTACATTCACTGCTTGCTTATAACCTTTCTTATCCCACTGGGTGATAAAAGGGCTGAATTCCCCCATGTGGCTCAGCTAAGACAATCAAAGCTGCATGTTATTTTTCTCTTACAGACACGCTCACGTCATGTTCTCATGTCAAGGCCTAAAACAGAAGCCTCTGCTATACTGCTGCAGCAGACACACCCAAGTAAAACATGAACTCATCTCTTCACAAACCCAAATATTATATTTAAAAAAGACAGCCGGACATTTCCATGACTTACTGCGGTAAATGTAGTGAGTGCGGCAGACTGCTATTATGTTAAGTAGGTTATTGGCTCAGCCTTAAATTGTTTTGCGTTGTGTTTATGCTCTTCTTAAAGGGATCGTTCGCTCAAAAATGAAGAAAATGCTGTTTATTTTCTCCCCTTCAGGCCATCCAAGGTGTTGGTGGAGTTTGTTTTCAGTGGAACATTTAAGAAGATTTCTGTCATAACTGTGGCTCTAGATGATTCATAACATGTAAGACAATGGCTACCAGCACTTTGAGAGTCAAAATGCATATATACAGACAAGGCTTGATGAAAACCTGCTGCTCCTGATAATTAAATGAGGTCTTATGTTAAAGGAATGGTCTGTGTAAAAAGCTGAACATTATTTACAGCATTAATAATACTGTTACATAATTAATAACAACATTGTTACCTAATTAATAACAACACTAACTCACAACCTCGACAGTCTGAAGCATGAGTTTCCAGTCATAAAATAATGTCCTGTATATTAAACACTGGGAATCTGTAAAGTCAATTAATCTTTGCAATGGGCTATATCCACAGCTAATGTTTTTCAGCCCATGATGAACTTCTGGTTAAAGCTTTATGTGACTATTTTTATTTTATGAGGATCCTTTTACAGCGTTGATGTTGTATTGTAAGACTTAAGATTGATTTGGCTGTAAACCGTAAAAAGGTACAAAAGATCGTTTAAACACAGGCACCGTCATTAGCAACAGGCTAGTGCAGAAACTCCTTTGAAAATACTGGAGTTAAATTATTTACATATTTAAAACATATGGCAGGGAAAATATAATTCAATGCAGTGCTTCTTGTTTGGTCTGATACCCACTTTATATTGTATCTCAACCAGGCAGTGATAAATGCTGTTTTAAAAAAAATCTGATCTTAAATGCTGATATTTTGTATAGGATGTCAACTCACCGGAAGCCCTGCGACTGACTGACTGAAATTAAAAGCCTGTGTGCATGTACTCCATTGAGAATGATCTTACTTTTGTATACTTAGCAAAATACAGGATAAACATGAGCATTAAACACTGGTGTCCTCCCTCTCTGATGTAAACAAACAGGATCAGCTCAGATGGGAGTTTGCACCCGGACAAATGTCATTATACAAGAAGCTTGTCCTGTTGAGAACACACTTAACACCATCTGCCAATCCTGTGGATTAAAGGTAATAATGTTGTAAAGAAAAAAGAGAAAAGTTTAGTTTTTTTAAACAGATTCACAAATTAATTTTGTTTTGTCTGTATTGTTTTCTTCCTAATCTCAAAATGGCTGTGGCAACAGGGTATATGCACACAGACTTTTAATTTCAGTCAGCCAGCCCCAGGGCTTCTGGTTATTTGCCATCCCATACGAAATCGCTGCATTTAAGATCTGATTTCTTAAAAAAAATAAATAAAAAAATAAAAAAACAGAGATATTCACTGTCTGGCTGAGATGCAATGTAAAGTGGGTATCAGACCACAGTGGCAGATTTAGGCATGGGCGATCGCCCAGGGCGACATCTTGCTGGAGGTGGCATGGGGAGATGGTGCAAAAAAAAGTGCCCCAGTAAAAGCTTTGAGATAAGATTGACTTTATGCAGGTGTATTAATTCAGAGTGGTTATCCCAGAATAAAGACATTATGGGCTATTCGCATTTGGCATCTTTTGCACACGCAAGTTTGTTATTCTTTATGTGCAACTGAAACAACACACCTCACACGCGCTTCTCCTGATCCCGGTTGTTTACATGCACGCTGACATGCAAGTCGACAAAACTAAAGTTTATCTCATATGATACTTTCATATCATATGAATGATACTTTCACCAAGCATGGCTAAAAAGCAGAAAGTGAATAATGAGTCAGGGAGGTAACTAAGACCTCATAACATTAATTCTCAGCCATGAGTCGGGTCTAAGACAACACTATATTTTTGTAGTCTATAGAACTGTTATAATTATTATTCATGCAAAAGTCTTAAAATGTTACTCCAGTTTTTAATGGAGTTTTTGCGCTGGCCTACTGCTAATTATGGCAGCTGCGTTTAAACCATAGGTCTCAAACTCAATTCCTGGAGGGCCGCAGCTCTGCAGTTTTGCTCTAACATTAATCAAACACAGCTGACTCAACTAATCAAGGTGTTCAAGACTAGACTATTAAGCAGGTGTGAGTTGGAGGTGGTTGGAGGTAAACAATGCAGAGCTGCAGGCTGTGGCCCTCCAGGAATTGAGTTTGAGACCACTGGTTTAAACGGTCTTTCTTTCGTCTTTTTTTACACTTTAACAGCCAAATGAATGCTTAAGTCTATTTAACTGATTATATTTGAATTAGATTACCGCATTGATGCTGTAAAAACAACCGTATGAAGTTGAAAATAGTCACATAAACCTTTCACCGGAAGTTCCTCATTGGCTGAAAAACACTAGCTGCGAATATAGCCCATTGACTTGCATTTTATCAATCAACAAGGACCACATTTCAGCTAAAAATATACTTTTTGATCTTCTATGTAAGAAAAAGTCACCTACATCTCGAATTACCCAAATGTGCATGAATTAACAGCAAATTTCCATTTGAGAATGAACAGTAAAATGCAAAAACAAGCCCCTTTTCACACTGCAAAAGGAATGTCAATTTTGCGAAAACACATTGAGTGAATGCTTTTCAATCCCTCCACTGTTTCCTCAGTGCAGTGCAATGCAGATTTCAGCGCATGACACATTTCTACTCAAGAATGATGCTCGACCTCATGCGGACAAACTGTTTACCTCGCTGCTGCTTCTGACGTCACGACACACCCCTCGCGCGCGTGATTGTACGAGTGTGTTTGTGTGTGCGCGCGCAGCCTCTGCCCGTGAATGCAGTGGAGCTCGTGCGTGCGCGAGTGTGTGTGAGTGAGTGAGTGAGTGAGTGTGTTTTGCTTCAGGAATGTGGGAGTTGTCCCCACGCGCTTTACGAACAACCGACCTGTCCAAACAGTGCGCGCGTGGCAGAGGATGTCACACCAACCAAAACAGCGGACGCTCGCTCACAGCACAATCTTTGATCCGTTATTGGAGGAAAATCCGCCGTACAGGGTAGAGTCGGGGCGGGGCGTAATTACACGGAGTCCCATCTATTTAGGGTCAAGTACAACATTTTTACAGTCCTAACCAGCGTGGGTTCAAAGTTTGTTTTGTGCCCGGAAACTGCGAGTCGCCCACTGGCCGCGGAAGAAGCGCGTTCAGATTCGACCGTGTGCATTGTTTGTGTGTACGTTACGTTAGTTAACCCACGGCGAGAGAAAAAAAAATCCGCGCGGGATGGATTACAAAGCTGCGATAGCCAGCATAATTCGTTAGCATCTCGTCGACTAGCTCCTCCAGAGGCTCGATCGCGAGTACGGGGCTGCGGTGCGGCTGGACGCGGAGCGAGGCGACCCTCTGCGGGCTGCGCTGCCGAGGCGGTGGGCGTGTTTTCTCGGCGTGCTAGCATGTGAGCTGGCGCCAAGTTCTCGGCGTGAAGAAAAAGAAAGAAAAAAACAAGATTTACAAGTTACGGATTGGAGAGAAGCAGCAAAAGTCACATCACGCTTGATCGGAAAAGTTGCACGCAGGTACGAAGCGAGCAGTTTACTCTAACACGCACTATTATCAAAGTGAACCTTGTGCGCTCACTAATGCAATTCAAAACAAAAGCTGCTAGTCTGCTAATGTTAGGTAACCTACTCAAGTGACTGCTTTTTTCATCCTGGCACATGAGATCCAGAGGGAGCGAGAGAGAGAGTTAATGTGTGTAGTTTGTGAGCTAAATTAACACTAGAATGTATTCGTTGTGTGTGTGTTTGGTGCACTGATTGAATGCCATTTAAACACCGACCTTGGCGAGTTATACAACATGGAAAACTTTGCACATGCCTCGGAGTGCAGCTAGTTCTGAAGAATGACCTAAAGCAGCAAATCCGCGCTAATGAAGCGTCAATTGTATTCAAAGGGATATAAAAGCGTGTAATGTTAATGAGTGTGATAGTAAAGCTGCGTATCAGCTCATCTGTTGCGGTAATTTTCAACTGCGACATCATCCAGACACAGCGACAATATCGCGTCTGTGGCGTTTAGCAGCTCTTCAAAGTTACTTTTTTTTGGAGATTAGTTTTCCTTCGCTAACTGTTTTTCTTTTATGTGAAGTAAAAGATTTGCTAAACGAATGATTAATAGCTCAACAAGGAAACGTATTACTGCTTCAGATGCGATACCTTTTATATAGCAGTTTGCGGTGTCACTTTCTTGTAAAATATTAGCAAACAATTTAGCATTGCATAAAGCTTAATATATAATTTGCTAATATATATTAAAATAATCACAATGTAATTAATTTTTCATTCATATATTTTGGCATATTTCTGTTTCATCGTTGTAATGTTTCATTGTAAATGAATATTACTGTTTCAATATAAACATCTGCCCTTGTTGTTTTTCTGTCATCATAACAATGCTTTATGGGCAGAAACTAATTTGATAGTGCTCTGTATGTTTCATAAGTCCTGATGTTGATATAAAAATGTTTAGGCATTCAAACACTGGCGATATTCAGGTAATATCAGTCATATTAACCTCAGCAGTGTTGTTTAACAAAATGCCCTTATGGATCGTATAGGAGAGAAAGAGAGAGAGCGTGTGACTCTGACATGAAAGCACATTGTGCTGTTGGTATGTTGAGAATCTGTTGTAGTGTGCAGAGTTTGTTTAACATGTCTGTTGAACTGGCCTAGGACCTTTTCAGCACTCCAAATGGACAACTAGTTAGGGCATGTCCGACTAGCAAAGTAAACTCCTGCAGATGTTTATTCTTATTTCTTAAGTTTGTTTGGGATGGAGTCAAGTGGTAAACCTTTAAAATCAATGTAATGGTTAGCCTTTTCCCATGTAGGATTGGCTAATAGATTTGCTCTGCATTGTATCAGATAATGTGTTTGTGTGGCTGTGACGCAGTGGCTGTTGTTGTTTTCTCTTTTCCTACGATTCTCCATTGTGCAGATTCAGGGCTGCAATGGTCTAATTTGAGTTTAAATGGAAAGAGATAGTCAAGCATGTAACAAGATTAGACGTGATACCTTGGAAGGGTTTCAAAATACTATTTCCCTGTTATTCAGCACTACTGTATGTCTTTCATATCTACATTACTGTTAAATGGTAAGATGTAGGCATGGGACTGAATAAGATTGTGATGGTATGATTTGTTTTGTGATTACTGCTCTAAAACAGATTATTTTTAAATGTCTGGATAAAAAACTAAAACTTTTTTCCTTTTTGAACACAAAACATTTTATTTTAAAAACATTTTAAACATTTTGGAGCAGTAAACATGTTGTGCTAAATAATTCAAATGAATCATTGACTTCTGCTGTCTTTATTGGTTTAAAAAACTCTTTTCTGCTGGAGATACTGCTTTCCCAAAAAAAGCTAAAAAGAAACGTAAATAAATAAATCTTAGATGTACTGTAGGAACGATATAGCAGAAAATTTTGGCGGTTTTAAAACCTTGACTTTTCCAAATCGCGGTATACCTTGAAAATGTTTATTGTTTCATGCCTAGTAAGATGTTGTGTATTCATTTATTTAAAATCAATACTGCTCTTCAAGTTCATCAAAGATTCTTCTTTCCAATACTTAAATAAATACAGTGTAACTTTTGATCATTGATTGGGAAAAAAAAAAAGATTTCTGAAGGATCATATGACAGAAAAGACTTGAGTAATGACTGCAGAAAATTCAGCCTTGACTGTACAGAAATAAATGACAATACAAAACAGTGATTTTAATGAACTGTAATAAAATTTCACATAATTTCAGTGTTTCGGTTATTTTATACAGTCATTTGTGAGAGACTTTTTATAAAATCATTTTTAAAAGCTTGCTTTAAACCACACACTATCCACTAGGCATGGGACGATAACCGTTTTCAATGTATTCCTCAGTTTGGAAAAGTCAAGAGTTTTTTGTTATACCGTTCATAAGGCATGTGTAAGATTTTTTTTGTTTTTTGTTTTGTTTTTTAGGACAACAGCAGAGAAGATGTCAAAAGATGGCAATTTAAATGGTAAAGAAATCAGTGTTTTTGAAGCTAATGAACAAAAATTCATTTGAATTATGAAGCCTGCCATGTTTACTGCTCCAAAATATTATAAATGCTTCTCTAAATAAATTCTATTGCATAAATGTGTAGAATTCACACCTTTTATGGTAGCCTATTGCACGTTTTCTGACGCTTCAGTTTGAATCTGAATCAGTTCATTTCTGTTACTGTTGAAATGATTTAGTAGCTAGAACAAGCTCAACAATCTCTTCAAAAGAGGGACTCACAAATTAAAATTTTGAATAATTTTGGTTTATTACCTGATGACTGAACAAAAAATAAATAAATGAAAAACCCAAAATAGCAACAGGAAACATTGAATCGATTTTTGACCACCTCATATAGCCCAATTTTGTAGGAAAAATGCTCTTTATGTAACAAATTTCGTTTGTTATAATTTGTATCTTTATTTTAATGTATTTTTTGTTAGCCAGTTATCTACAAAATAATCAAAAAGAGCTAACACATTTCAGGTGAAGTGACTTGCAAATAATACTTTTTTCCAGCAATAAGGGAATTATGCATTAAAATCAAGTGTGCCTATTATAACATTTTAAAATGTGTATTTCTGACCTTTATTTAATAGATTTGAGTTATGAATTACAATATCGCAGTACTATTTGGCATCTTGATACTTCAGCTGGTATAGTATCGTAACCTGAATGAATAGTATCGCGACAACCCCTGTGGGTTCTGCATTTGAATTTACTACTCGACCAATAGAAAAGAACGTTCTATACAGTAGGAATGTGAGTAATATGAATGAAGCCAATATATCATGATCGCGTGAAGCACCCGCTTCACTCCCATTCATGAATTTTCTCATGGTGCATCATAAGATAGCGTAGCGTCTATCGGGAGTGCACTTCAGAATCTTGCTGGAAGTAGCAGATCATCCGGGTACTTCTCGCATATTGATTTTGGATTTCTATGAATTCGGACATGCTACTCGCCTCGGCTTGCATACTGTTTTTACTATATAGAGTACTATGTTGTATGAAAGTAAGCAATTTTGGGCGCAACCATTGTATTCAAAGTGGGAAAAAGTTCTTGTTTTCTTTTACCCAGACATTTAAAAAGAATACATTTTAAAGCATTAATCACAATATCGTCAAACTGATGTTTTTATCCAAGGTTATTATTCTGCCAGAATCTATGAGCACACACCTCATTTAAAAAAGAAAAAGAAATTCTCTTTTTGTATTTAAATGACTAAAGAAGTGTGCATTTGCTACTGCACTCCAGAATGTACCGCAGTAGCACAATCTATACTGCCCTATACGGGATGTTTACATGTTTCCGTATGCTCCAGAATTCCCATGCACCTGCGTATTATCTTCATAGTCGTGTTGGTTTGAGTGCCAGCGCCATGCAGGACCTGCTTCGCACACGTCGCTCTGATGATATGTTCCTTTTGTTTAAAGGAGCCGGATTGTGATGTTTAGGTTGTTATTGTGGCGGTGCTCATTTCAGAGGCTGGAATGTGTGCGCCTGTGTGTAGTTTCTGTAACTCTAGGCAGAAGCTGTGAGGCCTTGACTGTAGCCCTGTAGAGAGGCCCATTGAAGGGGAAGTTGGCTCTCTGTGTGTGTGTATGCGTGTGTGTGCATGCAGACCACTGGGATTGGACACAGGGTAGAAAGACCCCCTGTACGGAAGGAGGGAAAAAAGGGAGGAAAGAGGAAGGAGGAGTCACTTACACTTTTTTTTCTGGTCATGTGTGTTCTTGCCCCGTGTTTTGCATGGACCGAACGAGTGGTCGCGTTACGGCAAGGGTAACCAAAGACGAATATGTAAAGAGACTATTCACAGCTGAGAAAGATTTCTCATTAGTAAACAGCCTAATTTTGAACTCGGGCCATTTTGTAATGTAACTTGAAGACTGTTGGCCTAATGTTTGTTTGTGTGCTGCGGCAGCTAATGTTTTACAGGGCTCTCTTTGTCTTTGCATCTTTTTTAAGTCAAATTTGTTTGCTTATGATGAATTTAACAGGTCAGGAATAATTGATGTTCAGTGTGAGGAGGTTTTTCAGCATGATGGAGTGATGAATGATTAATGTATGTCTTTGCGCAGCATATCCTCAGCTTCTGTGGATTGGTACTATTTGTTCAGGGCTTGACATTGCTATATATGGCTTCGCTAAACCTACACAGGCTTAGAATCAAATAGACTGAAATAACAGAGAAAATGTAGGATTTTACTGATTTCTTTTACGTTGTTTTCTGTGTGATCGGTGACTGTGTAAGGGATAGTAATGTACAGTCAGCCTAATTTAAGGCCTCATGATATCAGGAAGATGCAGATTCATAGAATTGAAATTAGCTGACCAACGCATAAATGTGATGTAAACGGGCAAATTTTGGATGCTAAATCAGAAGTGGCACTATACGCCTATGAACTAGTGACTGTCAATGATATTCATGTGTGATGCTCATGGTGTTGTCTGCTGTCTTGTTATATGAGGATGTGGACCCGTGAACTTCTTTTCTAGAGATGCTCTGTGAGTCATTTCTTCTGTACTTTACAGTTGTATTAGAGAAAAGCTTTTGTTTTTGTTAGGGCTGCACAATATATAGTTTCAGCATCGATATTGTTATGTGTGCTAGAGGGATGCAACGGTTACAGATTTTAGTTGTACGGTTCAGGTTTGGGTGGTAATATGGTAAATGGTATACCGCGGGATCTGAAAATAGCAACGGTATCAGTTTCGATATCAAAAAACCGTCATAAAAAACAATGCGCTTATATAGGAGACAAAGATTAAATATTACAAAACAATTTATTTAATGACTAAAATGTGTATGTTTGGTTGTCATCACGATACAACATAGAGGAGAAAGAGAGAGGTGGGAAAAGATGGCGAGTTGCGAACTTGATCTCGAAAAAGAACACAACTTCTGCAGTTTGGCAGTATTTCTGGTTTCGACTGAACGATAAGGGAGAGGCGGTAAATACGGATGAAGCAATTTGGCGAAAAACACAGATGAGGCAATTTGGCGGTAAATACAAATGAGGCAATTTGCAAATTGTGCAACACAAAGGTGACTGCAAAAGATGGAAATACCTCGAACCCAAGGGGCCCTATTATACACCCGATGCAATGTGGCGCAATGCGCAACGTAATTGTTGTTTGCTAGTTTCAGCTTGGCACAAGAGTTGTTTTGATGTTTTGCGACACGCTGTTTAAATAGCAAATGCATTTGCGCTCATGTGCGCCCATAGTTGTCCTGTTCTGAAAAGGGAGGCGTGTTAAAGCGCATTGCTGGCGCGTTGCTATTTTTTGCTTTTTCCGTTTATTCATGACAATTTGCTTTTATTTGATTTTTATTATTATTAGCAGTATTATTTATTTTATCCATATTTATATTTGTTTTATTTAAAACAAGCTTAGATTTGTCAGGTTTTAGACCATATGGAGTACAGCATGTGTATTTGGATATAACTCAGTTTTTTGACCAC